AAAAATTGTATGTTTCTGTTCTGTGTCTTGTGTACTGTTTGTTTGTATATGTGTCTCTCTTGCTGCTGTCACAAATTATTCCCTTGTGGGAAAATTAAAGGATTATTCTTCTATTCTATGTAACTCTTAAATATTATCTACAGCTACTTTCAGCACCATTGATGTTCATTTAGACTCTTTTTCTTAACTTCAATAATTACTTCCTCCAAACCATCAACGTGTCTTTTAGACCCCATTCCTACAAAACTGCTAAAAGAAGTCCTGCCATTAAAGTTTGACCTTTTTGACCCTGATGACGATTTCAGAGGTCCAGTAAAATCATATTAGACTTCCCTATAGCACTTTTTGGGAATGCTGAAAATACACAGCACACTTAAAGAATCATCGTTTCGAAGAAACATCACAGAGAGACTGAGTGTGTGAAACAACCTGTAATTGGAACAATTCCTTCAGCTCCTCATCTCGACAATGGGAACCACCACCCCACCTCATCGCAAGTAGTGTCCCCAAGGTTAAGGTTGGAGACAAGACATCGTCCCCAACAAAGAAAATGTCTTTGTTGCGCCAAGAAAGCTCAACAGAAACTGGTAACAGCACACAGTCACAGCCATTTCTATGGCAACAGTTGCTATAGTCGAATATAGTCCGAGGAGCTCGCACACAGTGTACAAGCAAACATACTCACAACCACCTACATGCTGCATGTAGACTTAGCTGCAGCCCATGCAGCTGCATGAGGCCCAGTGATCTGCCAGCCCTGTGCTCGTGTCTTTCCAGAGCTGGCTCTCTGTCACAACACGGAAATGACATAATTTATGGTTCAGAGTGCAAAAGCGGGTGAAGGAGTGAGGAAGTGTGAGTGGGGGTGGAGACAAAACCATGAACAATACTGTATTAATGAACACACGTTCTAACAATCACAAGATTTTGTAAATGTGCTTTCTCGCCTATCGTCAAAATATGTCCAACAAAGCCACCGATGCTGTAATCTTTATTATTAATGCAGAACTCGAGAACATGCCAACTTACCCGCAGGTTGATCTCCCGCATCCTCTCCTGACGCAGTTTTGACAGATTGGTAACTCTGGACATAACGCACTTTGTCAAGACCGACTGAAAAAGCAGCGAGCAAGTCGAAATAAAATATTCAGTTTGAAAGTTTGTGTAGTTTTCTGTAAATCGTTCAATTCTCCATCAAAGAGGAAAAAGAATAGTCTGTCCTCACTAGCCAACTGCAGTGTGTTTCTGCTTTTAGTGAAGTGACTGTTCCTGTGAGAAATCTGACTTCTGAATCATCACCGCCCCCTCACACTCACACACATACGCATCCACACACACACACGCACACAGTGTTCGTCCGTCTGTGAAATT